ACGGGGGGAGGGCGGGGTGAGGAGATGGGCTCCAGGGTCGGGGATCGGGATTCGGCGTCCTGTGGAAGGGCGTGGGGTGCTCTGGAGTTGAACAGACCCGCTTTCAAGTCGGGCTCGCTATGTACTAGTTCTGTTCAAGATACTTAATCTCTCCATACAGTGGGGCCTTGACTTACGAGTTTAATTCGTTCCGAGACCGAGCTCGTTAAGGAGCTCGTTAACTCAAATTACTCTATCAACTCAATGCAAAAAATCGGCCGAGAGACACCTGGTATCTCAAAAAACTCGTTAGTTGGGACACTCGTAAGTCAAGGCCCCACTGTACTTCAGTTTTGTCAAGTGTTAAAGGTATTTACCTCAAAAGGTGCTCAGGAAGGATTCCGTTCAGGTGCTGCATTGCCCTTAGAGACATCTGGGCTCCACAGGCCCCAGCAGGGCAGGCTGTGGAGGCTGTGGAGGCTGTGGAGGCTGTAGGGTTTTGAGGGTAGAGGATACTCCAACTGCCTGGGCTTGCTAAACTGAAGTCTCGATCCCCAACCCCCAGGCCGCTGCATCTGGCCATTATTCACGGGCAGACCAGTGTCATCGAGCAGATAGCCCATGTCATCTATCATGCTCGGCACCTCGGGGTGGTCAACATCACCAACCACCTGCACCAGGTGAGGGGCACCTATTGATGGGAGGCTAAGAGTTAGAAAGCAAGTGGGTCTAGGCCAGGGGCGGGCCTGGCTCACTCTGCCTGTGTCCCCAGACACCCTTACACCTGGCGGTGATCACCGGGCAGACCAACGTGGTGAGCTTCCTGCTGCAGGTGGGCGCAGACCCGACACTGCTTGATCGGCATGGAGACTCAGCGGTGCACCTGGCACTGAGGGCAGGTGCCAGTGCCCCTGACCTGCTGGGTGCGCTGCTGCGGAGTGGGGTTCCCGCCGTGCCCCAACTGTTGCACATGCCAGACTTCGAGGGTGAGTTCTTCACCTCATCTGGACCAGGGGCAAGGGGAGGGGTCAGGGAGGGTAACTGATGAGTGCCTAGAGTGGACATAAGGTGTAGAGATCAGCTTGTCGGAGCCACAGCTGCAGGCTGAGTGTCCTATGTCCCTAGGGCTGTACCCAGTACACCTGGCAGTCCATGCCCGAAGCCCCGAGTGCCTGGATCTGCTGGTGGACAACGGGGCTGAAGTGGAGGCTGCAGAGCGGCAGGGGGGCCGAACAGCTCTTCACCTGGCCACAGAGATGGAGGAGCTGGGGTTGGTCACCCATCTCGTCACCAAGGTAGGAATGAGGACCATGGAGGGACCAAGGATGGTGAAGATGTAGGGAGAGGGAAAGCCAGTCGGTTGGTGCTGTAATCAACCACGCCCTTGCACTCCACAGCTCCATGCCAATGTGAACGCACGCACTTTTGCGGGAAACACACCCCTACACCTGGCAGCTGGACTGGGATCCCCAACACTCACCCGCCTCCTTCTAAAGGCTGGTCAGTCTCACCCGCAGGGGCATATGAACAGGACTGGGAGGAGAAAAGGGGTGCCTCCCACGCTCCCCACTTCGCAATCCTGAATGTGGGTTCCCATTGCACCTCCCTCTCCTAGGTGCTGACATCCATGCAGAGAACGAGGAGCCCCTGTGCCCACTGCCTTCGCCTCCCACCTCTGGTAGTGACTCAGATTCTGAGGAGCCTGAGAGGGACACCCAAAGCAGCTTCCGTGGCCACACACCTATTGACCTCACTCGCAGCACCAAGGTGAGGCCAGCCTGGGACGAGAAGTGCCAGGGAACAGGGTGTGTGGGCTTAGGGATGGGGTTCAAAGTATCTGGTACCTGGGCTCAAGGCCTGGGATGGGAGTAGTGAAGGCTGAGGCTGTCTCTCCAGGTGAAGACCTTGCTGCTAAATGCTGCTCAGGACACCATGGCGCTGCCTCTGACCCCACCCAGCCCCGCAGGTGAGATCTCTTCACTCACTCCTAGCCCTAGCCCCCTGCTCATAGAGGTCTTTCTCCTGTAGATCTCTGAAGGGGTCTGCCTTGTCTATCCGATTGCCATGGGAGAAAAGTGGTGTCTGTGCCCATCTCTGGAGGTAACTGACACATTTGTGTGTCTGTCCCCCTCAGGGCCAGAGCTGCCACTCGAGGATACAGTCCTGCAGAACTTGGAGCATCTGCTAGATGGGCCAGGGGCTCAGGGCAGCTGGGCAGAGCTGGCAGAACGGCTGGGGCTGCGCAGTCTGGTGGACACGTATCGAAAGACAGCCTCGCCCAGTGGCAGCCTCCTTCGCAGTTACAAGGTCAGTCGGGCCTGTCCCCTGCTCCGTGCCTGCTTCCTTTCCCCAGTCTCAGATCCCAGGTGCTTCCTTGGCCCCAGGGCTCCTGATCCCACATCCTAACTGTAACTGAGGTTCTCATACCTCTTCCTTCTCTCCAGCTGGCTGGTGGGGACTTAACAGGCCTCCTGGAAGCTCTGTCTGACATGGGCCTAGACGAGGGAGTGAGACTGCTAAGGGGTCCCGAGGCCCAAGACAAATTGCCCAGCACAGGTAAAAGGGTCAGACCTGGAAGATCATCTGGGCCTGGAGGGTGGGAGGCCTAAGGCTTTAACTCCCCTCTCCCCTCCTTATGTCTCCTTCCCCTGCAGAAGTGAAAGAGGACAGTGCATACGGAAGCCAATCAGTGGAGCAGGAGGCCGAGCAGCTAGGCCCATCCCCTGAGCCACCAGGAGGGCTCTGCCACGGGCACCCGCAGCCTCAGGTGCACTGAACTGCTGTCCATTTGCCTGCCCCCTTCCTGGGCCCCTCTGTACAGCATCCCCACCTATTCTAGTCCTTATTTAACACCCCATGCCCACCCCTCAGTTGGGGTAAATAAAGGATTCTCATGGGAAAGGGAGGGGGCCTGGCCCCGTCCCTAAGTTATAGCCACCCTTGAGTGACATGTCCTACCCTGGCCCAAAGCTGGGCACTGGAGAGAAAAGGAGGTCCAGCCAGCAAGTCCAGAGCAGTTTTAATGGGGGTGGAGTCTGTATAAAGGGCAGGGCCCACTGAAGGAGGGAAAGCAAGGCCATGCTGTCCCCAGCCTGTGCATAGGGGCCTGGGCATGGACACCCTTCCTCCACCTCTGGAAAGAGAGAAGATGAGCCCTCAGGAAGGAAGGAAAACCAGCTCGTCCCCAACTCCTGGCCTCTGTCTGAGCCAGGCCCCAGGATGGAGGAGGGTTGCTGGTGTCAGGGGTGGGGGTGGTCTCAGCAGAAAGCAGAACCTTTGCAGGCCTCCCCCCACTCAAAAAAAAAAAGCATTAAAAGTCCAGGGCCCTGGCCCCTCCCGCCCTAGCCCCCAGTACGAAAAAGTGCAAAACATTATCACAAAATGGGGGGGTCTCAGAGGGGCTCTAAGCCTGGGCTCCTGAGGCCCATGCCCTAGCCCTGCGCTGCCCCGGACACCGCGTCCGGCG